ATATATATATATATATATTTAACAGATATTGAACAGCTATGAAATAAGTAATTTCATAATTTCCCGCAATCGACACCTCGATACAACGCGGACTCGCTCCGCTTACTTGTCGCGCTTCCACGAGACAATGAGGTGTGAATGAAAGCGCAATGAACTTTTGCAATTTCCTTGGCAATTATCTCTCACCGTGTACAACTCGCATTGAATAAACGTGACACGCAAATTAACGTTGCACGTCCGTGAATTTAACCTGCACGAACGGTTCCTAAACACTCACCGATATTTCGACTCTCTTTCGATAAGACTCGCCACTGTATCGAAATGATTTGATCCAGCATATAATCCACGAGGAAAAGAAAGGCTCTCAACTGATTTCTTCTAAAATCCTTCTCGGCACCAGTGGACAAGTTTATTCACATTCACGAGTTTCTCGTAAAATCTCGCGCAGATTCTCGAAACGTCACTTCGGAATCCTGAAACACGATCACACTGATCCAGAGTGCACAGTCACATTTCCTAGTTATCGCGTTGAAATAAAGTATATAAGATGTCGATAGTAGAAACCAATAGAGTTATCCTTTAAAATATCATTTCGTTCTAGAAAAGATATATGATATCTATACTCTCTCTCACGAATCTACTCGATCTAGACGTCGTCTTTCGATAAATGATTCGATATCGGATACCATTCACTGCCCCGAGATCGTCGCGATCGGCACGTATCGGTTCGGAGCCGGACAGTCGAGAGCACTCTGCTCTCATCCGCAGATATCATCGGAAGGAATCGTCCACGTGATGACGCAATCAAGCGGAAGCAGGCATTCCCGCGAGGGTGAGGAAAAGTCAGAGAGGAGCGCGTGGTGACACCCTATCATGAAAGGTGTACAGGGTGTACCAAGGGAGTTTAGGTAATTGTAAGTACCGATATAAAGTTAAGGACGGAACGTTTATCGCGAGAGCGTGCGCGATCACGTGGGTGCGCGCGATCCGCGAGCGTGCGGCGCGTCGAGCCCGCTCGTTCTCGCGCGAGTGCGGAGTGCCGGGAGTGGGCCCTCCGCAGCATGTTTCCCGTGCTCCGTCTTCCTCGATCGCACGGACGTACTTCTCTCTTTCTCTCATTTGATCCCCCTACCTCACGTTAGCGCCGTCTTTCTCTCCCTCGCGCTCACTCGCGAACTCCGCGCACCGCTCTCTCTCTCTCTCTCTCTCTCTCTCTCTCTCTCTCTCTCTCTCTCTCTCCCCTCTCTCCCTCCTCCCCCTCCCCTCCCTTAGGACGATTCCTTCGTCCTCTCCTTGGTACAGACGAGAGCGCTCACCTGTGAGGTAAGTAAAGCCGGCGTTCCGTCGTACATGTTACGACATTGCGCGGCGGAGAAGGGATGGTGGAAAGGGCGAGGAAAGAGGAGAGCTAAGAAGGGAG